GTGCGAGGGGCGGGGTACACCCTGGACAGGTCGCAAGTCCATCACAGTAGTGGTAAGATTATGAGCTTTAATAAGTAAAATTATCCCAGCTACAATGACAGACAACAAATATTACATTTATAGTATTACAACTAAAACCGTTTTTGACGCCGCCACCGCAGTTTGTCCTTCATGAGCCTTCGTAGACAAGATGGCAGCTGCCTGTGTGGCGACCCTCGACCATGGAGACATAAACAGCTTTTTATACGGTAAAAATAATAAAACAAGGTCTTTGTCTGCAATGATTAGACATGTTTTTTATTATTGTCATTAGTGATTATCTCATATTCGGCTAAAAGACTTGACAAAATCCTACACAGTGTGCCTTTAAATCATTTGAACTTCCTCTGCCTGTTGGGTTAAAACATTGCCTGTAAGATCCTTTTCTAGTTTTAGATGTGATTAAAAATGTATGAACATGTTGAAAGTCCAGAATGAGCATTAGCGCTGACCAGTAACAGTCATGTGCCTCTGTCCTCCTCTAAGCTCTGACTTTGGACCTGCTGCTGGTCAGGACTGTGAAGACTCTGGTCAGACGTCGAACGCCGACTCAGAACCGCTCTGACATCTTCTCAGCCTTCTTCTCGGAGCGCTACTCCTTCCCCTCGGGCCACGCATCCAGGGCGGCGTTGTGCGCCCGCTTCTTCCTCGTCCAGATGGCGGACATGACCTCCATGCGGGTTCTGGTGGTGGGCTGGGCCATCCTGGTGAGCCTGTCCCGCCTGCTGCTGGCCCGACACTACGTGACGGATGTGGGCTTTGGTTTGGTCCTGGGGTACTGCCAGTACAGCCTGGTGGAACGGTTCTGGGTGTCCTGGGACTGCCTGCGGGACCTGGTGCTCCTGCGGCTGAGAGAGGGCCTGGATCAGGCTTACACTGGACTCTGGACCATAGACTGGAAGCATTAGGTCAGGGGGACACGTGTAGAGAGCACATTGTAACAGTTTAAAGCTCAAAAGTTAGAAGAACTGTGCCTCCTGAACACAAACACAACACATCAGAAACATGTTTGATTGACAGGAAACCTCCTCACTGTTTTCTCTTTTATTACCCACCACCATGAAACACAGGTTATTGTGTCATTATGTTTGTGTGGCGTATGTTGATCTGTCTGTTAGCAAAATCTTTCATGAAACTCTGGATATACGTCTACATCTGATTAACTTTTGGAGTCAACTCAATCCAAGCCAACACATTCTCACTCCTGACTCCTCAACATACTGACACTTGGTCAGGTACCGTCTGCGTCCAGTTTTGGAAGCGTCAGGTACCCCCTTGTACCAGTCATTGATGCCCGCAGCTTTTCTGGGTTATACCACATAGGGGTCTTTGGGTTGGGGGTCTGTGGTTAACATGAGGGATCAGGATTACTGGTTAATTTTAGGTACTGAGGTCAGGGATAGGATGTATATGGCTAATAGAAGTTCAATTTAGGGTCTACAATGGTTAGTTGATGTGTATTTCCTACATAATTCAAAAATATGACAACACTCTCCTCCTCCGTTTCATCTCGTTAATAACTGATGCGAGGGGGGTACCCGGTGCATCCAAAACTGGACATAGACAGTACCTGACCAAGCGTCAATATGTGACGAGTTGGGAGTGAGAATGGGTTGACCACAGCTGACTGATCTAAGCCAACACAAACATGGTTATAACTCAATCAGTTTGACAGATATTGAGCTAAGGTGTGGTGTGGTAGTAGCTGAGAGTCAGCCCCAGCACATACTCCAAGCACTGAAAAATATTGCAACACATTAAAAAGTTTGTCCCTGTTGGTCTGTTAACCTATGATTGTCTGAACCATGGATGGATCAAACATTTAAAACATGATTATCGGATACTTCTGCAACTGGTTTACTTTTGTGGCTTGAATCAAAGATGTCGATCACAGATAATTCATCTTGGCAAGCTCAGAACTGTCTTTTAATTGAGTTTTAACTTGGTGTTTAACTTAACTGACCTCAACTCCAAGCAGGTCACACTAAATCTTTGTCTAAACTTTGACATAACGCCATAAGCGATAAGCAATCCTTCAAGGAATGATTTTTTTTTCATTTTGTTTTATTTTATTTCATTTTTTTTAATTTATGAAAACAGTCCAACTCATGAGTGGGTCGAACAGTAAAAATGCTGTATTTTTTAACACTAAAACCTAAATTGGACTGCCCATCAAATTTATTTAATTTCTTTTCTTTTTAAGCCTTTCTGAGAGGGAGTACAAAGTGTGCCTGCTCCGGATTCAGACTAAGCTCCCTCACTGAACCATGGAAACTATATTTATGTGGGGGAAAGTCAACTCACTCGCGTCCAAATTTCCACCAGCTGCTGCCGAGTCTCCTGACCGTCATTATGTTGTCCAGCACCTCTCATCTCATCTTACAGCGTTGATAAACCCGCTGCTGTCACCTTCTCGTCAGCACGCAGATAAAACCTCCAAATTTAACTGTACAAACGCGGAGGACATGATTTGGGTTTAAGGATGATAAAGAGGTCAGAGGAGCAGCAAAGTCTCAGGAAGATGTTTGGAAAAGGCAGGATCAGATCCTCACCACTAGAGGGCAGCACATCCCAAAACAAGATTAACTGTAAAGATTAGCTGAAATCTTTTTGTTTTGTAGCTTCATTTTTTTAAACTAATGAGCTGAGGTTGAACTGGAAATGGAAGTGAATTTTTTATGTATGTGTGTGTGTGTGTGTGTGTGTGTGTGTGTGTGTGTGTGTGTGTGTGTG